AAAAGACAACGGGAACAGGTAAAACCTCCTTAGAACACCCCCCAACAACGAAGCGTTCAGGCATTCCGGCGAACTGAGCCTCCTCTGTACTTCCGCCACAGTAACCTTATACTTAGACGTTGACGAGAGTAGCGACAGGCGACCAGGGACCGAACAAAAATGGTCGCCGGGCTGCAAACCGCCACTTCCGTTTCCGGTTTGATGGTGATGATGACTGAGATCGTGAGGATGATGATGATGATGATGTTGCGAGTGATGCTGTGGGTCTAGGTCAGTGTGGAGTTGATGATGGAAAGATGTAATGTCATTTGTCAGGTCCTCGTAACCATTGGAACCTTGGTAGATTATTATTATTATTATTGTTATTATTATTTATAATTATTACTATTATTATTATTATTATGTTATAACTATTGTTATTATTATGAAAAAGGTTAAAAGTGAACCTTGATTATGATCAGCTGATGACCCCACGCTGCCAGAATCATCGCCGCCCTGTCAAATTATTTATAACTTTTTTAAAATTATGATACTTTTTACGAATAATTTTCAAAATATAATTACACGACAATAATTATAATTATATAACTATAATTATGAATATTATCTAATTTTAGACAAAATCTGGTCACATCTAACAGTTAATATGGAGACGTGTAATTTTTGCTGTTACGTAATTTTATACAAAACAATGGTGGAGATATGTCTATACTATTTACATTCTAAAACATACAAACATACATACATACAATTATATATAAATACATACATACAAACAAACAAACATGCATATATACATACACACATATAAACAAACATACATGCACATACACACACATACATAGGTGTCTAACGCATTACGTAACAATTAATGTTGATCATACAGCGGATATGTGAGATGAATGGATGAAAGAATGAATGAAAGAGTAGGATACTTTGAAAGGATAACAATGGAGAAATGAAAATATCTAATATCCATCCATCCATCCATCTATCTATCCATTCATTCATCAATTGTTTTATTAACCCAACTCACCGCCCATTAATTAACTAATTAATTAATAGTTTCTGTTCTATTTATCCACTTATCCATGTGTCCATCCATCTATCCATTATTTCATTCATCCATTTACGTATCCATCCATTCATCCATCAAACTTCTTAAAAATTCAGACTCAACTCTCGGACGCTTCAATAAATTTTAACGGTTTTATCAACATCAAAAGAGATGTGGTCTAACTAAATGTATGTTTGTTTGTATGTATGTGTATGTATGCATGCATGTATGTGTGTATGTATGTATGTATGTATGTATGTATGTATGTATGTATTTATGTATGTATGCGTATATATATATATATATATACAGAAAATATTAGTACAAACATAGATATGAATGTGTATGTATGTATGTTTGAGTGTTGTTGTTGCTGCTGCTGTTGTTTTGTATCTGTTTGATGTGTTATTGATGTTGTTGTTGGTGGTGTGTTGTGTTGTTGTTGAAATAAACCATGGAAAGCCCCCGGAGCTATTTTTAGATTCTGAAAAACTAGAGAGGGAGTTTTATTGATAGGTTAATTTGAGGTCAGTTCCATTAAAGATTTTGCTGTTGTTGTTGTTGTTTTTGTGGCTAGTGATGATGATGATGTTGTTGTTTTGAGAATGATGATGATGATGATGTTGTGGTCGTTTTTTGTTGTTGATGATGATGAATATTTCATTGCGTTTGATGGTGGTAATGATGATGATGATGATGATGATGAAACTGATGCTGTTGTTGTTGTTGTTGTTTTTATGATGATGAATATTATTATTACAGTGGTGATGATGTTCAAGCAGCAGCAACAACAACAACATCAACAACAACAACATCTACAACAACAACAACAACAACATCAACAACATCAACAACAACAACAACATCAACAACAACAACATCAACAACAACAACATCAACAACAACAACATCAACAACAACAACTCTATTCTCGCTATCAGTTCGTCAATCAGTAAATTAATTTTCAATGAGACTTATCGATCTATTGCTGAATGTGTGTATTTGGAGCGTTTGTATGTATGTATGTATGTATGTATGTATGTATGTATGTATGTGTGTGTGTGTGTGTGTGTGTGTGTGTGTGTGTATTTGAATGAATGACTTTCTGCAAAGTTAGGTAAACATTAAAATCAACAACTTTGACAACAAATCAACGCTAAAAGGACCAAACAAACATAGCACTTACACACATATACAAATAAACAAACATACAAATATGCAGACAAACAAACAAAAATACACACACACACATACATACAATCACACAAACATACAAACGACGCCGTGTCAAATAGCCCATTCTTATGTTAATGGTTTAAACAGGATTTTGCTTGTGTTAGGTGTGGAATAGTCGCGTCTATAAGTATGTTTGTGTGTGAAGTTTGTGTGTGAATTTGTGTTTGTATGTGTGAGTGTGTGTGTACAATATGCTTTGTATGTGTGTATTTGTGTTGCACATACACACTTATGCACACACAGCCACGCACACGCGCACATTAACATACATAGGCAGAAAGACAGACAGACAGACATATTAAAGACGCCTAAAAATGCATTTGTGAATTTGCATTCGAATACGCATTAGCAAGTTTGCTGGTGTTACTCTTCTATAAGGGTTTAGTCGGTTTGAATGTACATGTCCACACAAATACGTACACACACACACACACACACTAACATATACAACTAGATACAATCCGAAATACACACTAATATAGATTAACTTTCACATACAAGAATATATCTAATGCAGAATTTTAGTAACATAAACATACAAATAGTAGAATGAACGAAAGAAAGAAAGTAAAAGAAAGAGAGGAAGGGGAAAAGTCACGGAGATAGTGAAAATGTGAGAGTATAAGAGCGAGAGATAAGATCAAACAAGCGAATGACACAAACTACATTTTGCCACCAGCTATGCATATAAGCATCGTCTCATTATCACGATCATTATCATCATCACCATCGGTGGATGAATGAATGAATGAATGAATGAATGAATGAATGAATGAATGAATGAATGAATGAATGAATGTGTGAATGTGCGAATGAATGAATGAATGAATGTGTGAATGAACGACTGAGCGAATGAATAAACGATTAAAATAAACTCAAATTCATTATTACAATGAAGTGTTAAATTGAATTGAGCATGGATAAATTAAGACTTTAGACGAAGAGTTTGAGCATGTGCGCTTGTATAAGTGTGTGTATGTATGTGTGTGTGTGTTTGTTTGTATATGTGTGTGTGTATGTTTGTATATGTGTGTTGTGTGTACGTGTGTGTGTGTGTTTGTGTTGGGGTACATAAGAAACAGAGCACGTTCAAGAGTGCAGCAAGACGATTAAATTGCTTTGGTCATGGAATCATGAAGTAACGAACCACTGCACTCTGGTTGCTGCTATTGCTGATGACGATGTTGTTATTATCGCTGTTATTATTATTAATATTATTATTATTACTATTATAACAGCAATGATAACATCCTTGTGATGGAATTGATGTTAGTGATAATGTTGAACAGATGCGTGGAGCATATAAGTATGGAGAAGAAGAAAAGAAAAAGAATCACGACAAGAGAGAGAGAGAGAGAAAGAGAAAAGAGAATGAAAGAAAGTAGCAAAAAAAGAATAAACAAGAAACTAGTTTTATTTGTATTTGTCTATAAATAGTCTTTCTTGAACTTCATATAATGGGTCGGTTTAATTAGAGAAAAGTTGCCCGTTTCGTAATTCATTTCGTTACGGCTGTTAAGTGTGCGTGCGTGTGTGTGTGTCCGTGTGTGCGTACGTGTGTGTGTGTGTGTACGTGTTATGTTCTTTTGAATGTAACATCAATGGTCATGACAGCAAAGGCAATAATGTCAATAACATCAACTAGCCTGAGTGTCTTCATTGATGCCGGCAACAATATTCCTGTGTTGTTGTTGATGTTGTAAAAGTAAAAATTGTTGAGTGCTGCCATAGTAAGCAATTCTATCGTTATTGTTGATGTTGTTGTTGATGTTGTTGTTGCATTCGTTTGTTGCTTGGTAGGGATGGTGGCGTGCAAAATTTCTAGAAGGTTCTGCCTTAACTTTTCCGCCATTTTTTCTTACGCACGTGACCTCGTTCGGACCGATTTGTGATTGGCATAAATCCGCGTTCGAAACTGTTTGGTTATGAATGGCCGGATTAAATGGGTTAGGTTGGTCTTTAGTGTAGAGCCCGAATGGTGATTGGCTAGAGGATGCAAACTTCTCGCGCTCATTGGCAGAAATTTGGGGCGGATAAATTGATGAAATGATGTCAGATGCTAGTTGCTGTGGCCTTGTTGAGTTAGATAGAAGAGTATATTGCAGAGGGGGGTCTGTGTTTGTCGTCGGTGACGTCACGTCTCGAAACTCTAGCTGCTGCTGCTGCTGCTGAGGTAGTGGTGGTTGAGTTGTTGTTGGTGATTTGAAAGAGGTGGTTTGTTGTTGCTGCTGAGAAAGTTGGTTATATTGCTGTTGAAGAAGATGTCGTTGCGAGTAATGTTGCTGGTGATTCGTGGTAGCCATGTTGCTGGCGTTGTGGCTGTTGCTGCTGCTGCTGCCTATCTTGCAGCCACCGTCGACAACAACGTTGTTGTTGTTGTTGGCACCATTTGCGCTGCTACCACCATTGAACGGATCGTGAAATGGATAATTATATGCACCTGGATAGGGAATGCCTTGGGCATAAAAATTTGCGTAACTTTGAAAGGGATCGGCCCCAACTACCGCTGCTGATGATGCTGTTGTAGCAACTACTGCAGCCACCGCGTTGTACTGCGGGTGAAAATTATTTGTCAATAATGGATTTTGCCCTTCGGGGTGGTAGGTCAAACTGAGGTCAAACGTTGGTTGAGATGGTTGGACGAACCCGGGATGATGGTGATGATGATGATGATGGTGTGGGTAGGGATAGCCGGAAGTGTGTAGCGGAAGTGGAGCGTAGGGAGGCGGGAAATACGGCGGCTGGTAGTCTGGCGTTGTGGAAAGATGGCGAAAAGATTTTGATGGCTTGTTATCAAGTCTCTCGAACGATGATGACGTCATTTGAGATGGCTGTGGATTTGTGAATGTGGATGTCGGTGACTCGGATTGAATGTAGGTCTGTTGTTGTGGCTGTTGTCGCTGCTGTTGTCGCTGCTGTTGCTGTTGTTGTGGCTGGTTGTGGTAGTTGAAGTAAAAACTTGAGGATGTTGTTGCCGTCTGCAAATTTTTAATATCACTGTTGATCTTGTTTCTTATGAAGCTGCCATCGATGCGACTTCTGCTGCTTCCAGTGCTGCTGCTGCTGTTGCCGATACTGTTGCTGATACTGTTGCTGACACTGTCGCTGATATTGTCGCTGATAGATATCATGCCCTTTTAAACGTCTTTATGTCCTGTTCATAAAAATAAATGAAGTATTCATTCTAATTCCCACTTTGAATTCGTTTAATTTAAATACAATCAAATAAGCAAAAAATGTAAAAAAACTAAAAAAAACTAAAAACATACAAACAAACAAACATAGAAACATACAAAAAAAACATACAAAACGAAATAGCGAAATATTAAGATTGATCGCTTTGTAAGTAAGTGTAATTGTTTTGCACAGCTGAGATTAATTTTGGATACAAGCCACGGTTCTGCTTATTATTGTTCAATATTAAACAACTTGAATTTATGAAATTTAAACATACAAACACATTTACATACATACAAACACATTTACATACATACATACATACATACATACATACATACCAAACAAACTCATTTCCTAACACAAATACAAACACACAGCCATACATACAACGATACGTGCACGCATACAAACAAACAAACAGACACTTCCGTTCACAGATAAATCACAAACATACGCAATGTTCATCTTAAATGAATTGTTTGTAAATGCGTTCGCCCATCGATAATAAACAATTTCTACTCTTGCTGCTGCTTTTGCTGCTACTACTACGGCTACTACTACTACTACTACTACTACTACTACTACTACTACTACTAGTATTGTTATTGACGTTGTTGTTGATGTTGTTAATGATAATTTTGTGTTGCATATGATGATGAATGAATAAAATAGAATGATATCATTGCATTTTTGTAATGTATTTGTGTTTTTGCTAGCTTCATGAACAAAACCTCATTGAACATCATCGAACCACTAAAAATAATTTTGACAACCACTAAGAATAATTTTGACAACAACAAGACATGTGATCCGACAAAAAGATTTCAAACAACAAAGACCAACACAACGCTAAATTCGCTAAATTCCAATTCATCCATACAGTTATCCCAAATTTATATAGAATGATCCCAAAATGTATAAATAATAATAATTATTATAATAAATTATCTATCCTAAATAATTCGTCACGAATAATTCTTATCCAACATTATAATGCTATAATTAAATATTAGTCAAACCAAACAACTACCTCCATATTATCCGTATAATCTCATTTTATACACATACACACACACGCACGCACACACACATACATACACACACACACGCACACCCTCACATATATATATATGGTTGTTGTTTGTTAGTAAATGTAAATTAATGTAGTAGTAGTAGTAGTTGTTGTTGTTGGCGGTTGTGATGATGATGATGATGATAATGATGATGATAGTGATGATGATGATGATGATGATGATGATGATGGAAATGATGATAACGATGTTGATGATAATGACGATGATGACGTTGTTGTTATAATAATGATGGTTCTAGAGTAACTGATGTTGTTAATACTTCACTCATGTTGATGATGATGGAAAAACTACCATTACTAATGCTAAAATAATAACTATCTATCTATCTATCTATCCATCTATTTTCATGAGATATATATCGTAAATAACATTAGATAGATAGATAGATAGATAGATAGATAGATAGATAGATAGATAGATAGATAGATAGATAGATAGATAGATAGATAGATAGATAGATAGATAGATAGATAGATAGATAGATAGATAGATAGATAGATAGATAGATAGATAGATAGATAGATAGATAGATAGATAGATAGATAGATAGATAGATAGATAGATAGATAGATAGATAGATAGATAGATAGATAGATAGATAGATAGATAGATAGATTGATAGCCACTTTTTACAAGATGTCATCCATTGAATGTTAGGAGCTTGTAAACTTTCATTCCTAGTAATTTAATTATTACTAATTAATTATGCAACTTTGTAGAAATAAAAGTAGTAGTAGTAGTAGTAATATTATAAGTAAGGGTGGATTGTATAAAGTATTTTAGCAGCTACTGCTGCTACTACTACGGCTGCTTCTGTGGCTACTTCTACGGCTACTACTACGGCTACTACTACTACTGTTCCTTGGCCACTACTACTACTACTACTACTACGGTTGTTAATAATAATATGATGATGATGATAATAATAATAAT